GAAGAAAAAATGGAAGAAAAAACGGAAGAAAAAACGAGAAAACTTGGGAGTGAACGAAGAAGAAAATCGGAAACAATGGAGGAAAGATGAAATAAATCTTTTTGAGAGATTTGGAGGAGAGAATTAAGGAATTTGAATTAAGATAATATCTATGGGGCCCACATTTATTAAATGATTGTGATATTAATTTATGGAAATAACAATTTAATATTTCAAAAAATCCAAATTCATTAATAAATGAAAATGCAATAGGGTAAATATGGAATTAAATTAAAATCCTAACTGCATAAATCTAAAAGTGTAAATTTTTAAAAATTTAGACATTTACGTAAATAAGTTTCTAAAACAGCCCTCCAAAGATATTATCTCTAAATTATTCTSTTTTAACAGAAGTTAATTAGAGCCCAAATACAGTTCCAAGTTTATTAATTTAAACTTGTGATTAAATAAATAAAAAATAATCTTAATCCTTGACATAAGGATTCATTAGGAAGCCATGAGGAAATGAAATGACACCACAAAACATTGATTGGAGTGGAAGTTCATATCGTATTCATGAAATTACATCATCCAATCGTCACCATCATTTTTTCCTTTAATAGTTAATAGTAATATAGTTTTAATTTTAATTAATTAATGAATTTTTATTACAATTAATTAATGCATATAATGATTAAATTAATACATTAAGGAAATTAAAAAAAAAAAATTTGAAGCGATTTCATTTTCATAAGATCCTCAAAGTGTTCCTTCCACCCTCCAATATATGAGATTATCATTATTACTTCTGTTATAAACTTGGTATTCCTAACAAGTTGATCTTTAACATATCATCTTCCTTCTCTTTTCCAAATTTTTAGATTTATAGACATATTTTATTCAGATAACTAAGAATATAATTATAAATATCTTGTTTATTTTAAAAAGTATAGTTCAACTGTTCTTACATAGGCAATCGTCTGACCCTATAATATTTTTAGATAGGTGGCCATCATGGATTTGAACTGATTCTCTCTTAATTAATCCTAGTCTTTTTAGACTAATGAGCCACCCATGATGGTTGTCAAAACTTATAAACTTTAAAAAAAATAAAATTATAAGGTTGTTTTTGTCTGAATCCTATATATTAATTTCATACTAAATTTACGTTTTAGAATTCATTTAATTAACACTTTATCAAAARGAAAWTTTTCATTTTACACATGTGAGAATAGTTTTTTCAACAAATATTCAAACGGAAATCTTTCAAGGATAAAAGTTACAATATTTTAAAATCTTAAGATGAAGATTGTAACATTATTCGTCGTTCCCTGGAGAATGACAAAGTAATAAGACGTCTAGGTTTGCAACATTTATCGAACCCAGTGTTGGTCACCGTAGTTGCTCTAAGATCCACAATAGAAGCCACACGATATTGATTCCAGAAAATCAAAAGTTTACGGTAAAAATTGATACACCTTAATTATCAAATTTCATGTTAAAATTGATATGCCAATGCCCCACTATCAAATTCAAGATCCGCCACAATTTGGAACTGTCATTTGATTAATATAGTTAAAGMAATTTTTGTCTAGATTAAATGTAAAATTTTGTCCCACCTTACGAAAATTTCTTACTCAACCTCTACTAATGAGGTTTGAATACTAGACCTTCTCTACTAATACCATGTAAACCAAACTAAATCACTAATTAACACAAAAATTTAAACTAGAGTAAATTGAATAGGTAATGACCAAAATATCAATCAACCCAAATCAAACTCATTTTGTTTAACACTTCTACACATATAATACATAAAAGAAGGCAATAATGGCAACAAATTTCCCTTTGTCCAATTATTACAATAGAAATAGATGCGTGCGTGTGGCATATGTTCTCTCTTTTTTCCAATATGTTTAATGTGTTGCAATGTCACTGTAATGCAAAAACGAAAAAAAAAATCAGATAATTGCAGAGGGAGATTTTANGTCACAAAAGAAAAAACACCATTCGATTGATGGAATGTCGTTTTAGGGTTAGATGGGGGAAGAAGAAGATGGGTCCCACTTCAAGTTTTCATTGTCGGCCGCCTCATCTGATATTTCTCCTCCTCCTTAAAAGAAGGCCATATTAGAGAAAGAGAGAGAAATTAAACTGATCACTGCACTTCAGGGGAAGGAAAAAAAAAACCCTTCTCTTGATCTTCCCAAGTTGTTTATTTATTTAGTTTAAGATCCAATGGGTCACCATTCTTGCTGCAACCAGCAGAAGGTCAAGAGAGGGCTCTGGTCCCCCGAGGAGGACGAGAAGCTCATCCGCTACATCACCACCCACGGCTACGGGTGCTGGAGCGAAGTCCCCGAGAAAGCAGGTCCCTCTCTCTAACCTAAAGGCCGAGTGAAGAAGGAAGAAAATAAAAAGGGGCAATTGTTACTCCATCGTAGATTCTAAAAGTCCATAATATATATATATAAATTAGTTTTGACCTTTTTTTATAAAATTTTCAATTTTTAGGGTTACAAAGATGTGGGAAGAGCTGTCGTTTAAGGTGGATAAATTATTTAAGACCAGACATTAGAAGAGGGAGATTTACACCAGAAGAGGAGAAGCTCATCATCAGCCTTCATGGGGTTGTTGGAAACAGGTTTTTCAATTTTTGCCAAGTCTAAGGATTTGATTTGTTTTATATTAATTGCATGGAAAACCCAGCAGCTCCCCTTGTGATCTTGATTATATTGTCTGGTTTTTTTTGGAGCCCTWACTATTTGGAAATAACACATGATTATATTTTTAATTATGGCATGAATGAGGTGAGTGTTGTGTTGGTGTGGTTTCTTAATCACCTACATTTTGGCTTATAATTAAGGGTGTGTTAACATTAACAAAGGCAACTTCTCAACAAATTCTCACTGTCATTGTCTTTTTTGTATTCATTTTTTGTTGACTAGGGACCATTTTAATCACTTTGTTGRATAAATAGCTTCATTGAGTTTGTTTCGATTTGGATTTATAGTGACTTATTTTGAAGTTACTCGTTAATCTAATTAATATGTTATGTAATTGTAATTTTTAAAGAAGTTTTTTTTTTTTTGATTTAACAATGCTTAAGGTTCAARGCTTATGATTGAGTTTTTCAGAACCAAAATTGATTTTGTAAAACTAGATTTAAAGTTTAATTGTAATTTCAAAAGTTAATGCGCTTTGTCTTATAATCATTTTGTTAATGTTATTACTTTTTTTTAATAAACGTATTTACTAACTATTTATTTTCATTTATTTCCCGTTCTTAAGAAATTTGACTATGATTTAATCTAATTCTAAAGATTTTATAGGAGTCTCTCTTAAAAATCATTTTCTATTTAAATAAAAATGAAGTTACATAGGTTGCTTACTTTTTAAGACACCCTACATGAGGGTTTTTTTTTTAAAAAAAAAAAATCACACATTACATGTGATATATTGTAGTTCTTAGTATTAAAATATGAATAAAGTATCCATCAACTTAAAAACTTATGGTTAGAATAAATCTAATTTATTTATAGATATTTAAAACTCAAAAACAAAATAAACAGTCAATAACTCTTCTTTTATTTTTAAAAAATAAATTCATCATCATAAATATCTATAAGTTTTTAAGTTCTAATTTTGATTTGAAATAATACATTCTTAATATCATATCATGTGTATTATTGTAGATGGGCTCACATAGCAAGTCATCTTCCCGGAAGAACGGATAATGAGATAAAAAACTACTGGAATTCATGGATYAAGAAGAAGATTCGAAAGCCCAACTCTGTATCTTCCACTGTCACCGCCGCCRCCACCACCGCAGCAAATAACACCGAGCATTCCCAACTAAGTTCTTCTAATCCCCACCAACTCAATTTCCTTACTCAAGACCTAACAACCAAACACCTCTCCCTCCATCGAGAAACCCTATTTCCAATTCCCGCGGTTTCCTGCCCCGGCCTCTTCATGTTCGACACATCCTCTCAAGAAATGTTCCACGACTCATTAAATCTCAATTCGGATGCTACTTGGCACATGAATCACCACCACCAGTTTCCCACAGCAGTGCTCGGCGGCCCTCAAATGGGGCTGACCGCAGTGGCTGCTGCGGCCGCCACGAGTAATTATTTGCCACCGTTGATAGACAACATTGAGAGCTTGGTGGCGATGGATGATGAAGGAGAAATGGCATTACAGTGCTTGCAAAGGCAGGAGCTGAACGAGTGGGTGGTCGAGTCGACTCAGCCACAGAACTCAAATTTTCTTTTCTGGGAAAATGTTGAAGGATCTCTTGGTGGGGAAGAAATCATAGCACCACCTTCAAATTCCGCCATTGGAGGAGGAGGAGAAGGAGTTRATTCATTATCATCTTCTAATTTCCCTTCATCTCTGTAAGTTTTATATATTTTTATTTATCATTGGTGAGTTCCAAAAACGGGAAGGAAAAAGAAAAGAAAAAAGAAAGAGGCTAAATTTTCAGTGTTACTTTTTTTTTTTTATTGGAAGAGTTTTTTTTTCTTTTGTGGAAAATGGGTTTGTTTTGTTTTTAATTTGATTGTTATGTAAATAATAACATATAAGAAGCTAGGGGGTGACAAAGTTTGCTCATTTGGGGTTTGGAACATAGAACAGAGAGAGAGAAAAACCAAGAAATAAAGGCAATTATGTGAGAATGGGTTTGATTTAATTATGATTTCTAGAGATATATATTATTATGTATCCAATTTAATTGTTTGATCCTTAATTTTATTCATGAGATTATTGAATACACTGTACACTGTCTCTTTGTTGGTTGTGCATTTTTACTTTTTTACTATATTGGTTAATTTATTATTGTTTGTTGTAAATATAAAGTTGGAGGAGAAAATATTCAGAAGAAAATTGTAAACAGGGCAACAAACCATTTTTTGCTTGTGGTTGAATTTGAAGCATAATCTTTGTAAAAATAAATTATTCGGCTAGATTAACCATRATTTTTTTGTCTAATGGGTATCAATATTCATAGAGTTTCATCTCAAAATCAATCGATAAAGAGAGTTTTTTCCTATGTCTCATTTTAGCAAAGACAATTGTGACTATTTTTGTTATATCCTTGTCAATAGCTTGACAAATTATATATAGATATATATTTGAAATGAATTTTATGATATATATGACAATAATTTTCATAACATGAACCAGGACAATTTGGCATAATTAGAAAAGTGCGAACTTATTTGAAAGGAAAATAATAAAAAAAAAAGCAAGAATTTAGGTTGAGTTTTAAGGCATTATTTTTACTAAAGAATAAACGAAAAGTTGGGCTGAGAATTTGAATTAGGATAATGTCCCTCAAGACTTTTTAGACTTTTTTTAGTATAATAATCAAGGTAGGAGGGATTGAATTTTTAACCACAAATAAAGTAATAGTTGTCGTTATTCACTCAATTATGCTTGGGATTACATTTTTAGTAGGATTACAAATAATTAGTTTATTGAATTTTTATTATAAATTGTCCATCATTTTTTACTCTTAACGAATGAAATCAAAATTTTTGAAAGTATATATACTGAATTGAAATTGAAATGGAAACACACCTACTAGATATGCAAATTATTATTATATATATTATTAATGGAGAGACATTGAAAGATCAAGCAAAGCATGTGTAATAATTAATATCATTATTATTATTTTTTTCTGAGAAAAATATGCTCTTGATGTTGTGTTAATTATATTTTTTTAAAGAAATAAAAAAAATTGGTCAATTTTCCAAATGATTGCTTTACGAATTATAGTTATATCACAAATCACTTTGCCGAAGAATTTACAGCATCAGTGTGTTTTGTCGGTTCGTTTTGCTGCATGGATTTTCTTTTAATTTTCATAATTTTCCTTCACAGAGCATTTTTATGTTTGGACAAAARATGAAAAATAAGAAAACGAAAAGCTAATTAATATCTAGTAAATTTTAAGATTGGTTTTTTACTTTGTGCTAAAACATTTCTATATAGGTAATCTTCTTGTTTCTAATTTGTTAGGAACGCAAACATTTGATTAATTTATATTTCTAATTTTAGGAAACGTTTTCACAGTTTTTATAAAATGGTGTAAAATTAATTGTCCGTTTCTTAACATTTTGTTTCCTCTTTTTAACAAAGAAAAATATAATTGATTTATTATTTTTTTATTCTTTTATCGAAAAAAAAACCTTGATTGGGTAGGAAAATGGAGAAAAAAAAAGCAATAATTTTTTCTTCAAAATTTATCTATAATTTTAAGAAAGTTTCTAAAAAAAATTAAAAATAAAGAACATAAATAATCGTAAGTTTTTCAATAAAAATAAAATCAATAAATGAGAACGTTACAAAACAAACCCACAATTGACCTAAAAACTTTTCAAAAGTCTAGGATAATTAATCTTGATATTCATACTTAGGCTTCAAAATATCTTTAGAAATTATTATCCATATATATATATACACACATGCATATTAATGAAAGTAAAATTGAACAAGCTTAATAATGAAGTAAAAGTGAGAGAAAGGAACATTTGAATAATTCAGAATAGAACCCGTCACTAGCAAGATAAAAACTTTATTTTAATAATTAAATTTGTTTAATGATAACGAATTTTGTAAAATTTACCTGAAATTTTTAATTATTATATGCATCAACGGTTGGGTTTGTAAGATGAAACCAAAAGCAAAGTAGTGAGGGTTATGCCCAAAACGGACAATATCATACCATTGTAGAGATATTCGGGTACGTGAAGTACCGTTGTCCTTAACACCAACCGCCAACCGCTCAAATTAATGTTGAACCTACATTTCAAAAATGAATAAGCTTTATAAATATATCATTAATTTATATTTTGAGAAAGTGATAAGGATGACAAATTAAAGTCCATTATAAAATAATATTTAGCATTTTTGGTGATTTAGATGCACATTATCGGTCCATCTTTAAAATAATCCTTTATAAACAAATGTTCGCACTTCTTAGTTCTTTCTGCATCAATGAAAATCTTCGAAAAGCTAAAATTGTAGAAAAAATATATAATTTTTTAGATAAATAACGAAAATTGTAGCAGAGAACGAAAAGAAAAAAATTAGGGCTATGAATGAAACTTGCCACCAAGCTATATATATAGATATCAGGATAAAATATCTTTTCCTCTACATCTTAATTATTATAAAAATATCAACATGTTGAAAAATATTAAAAAGATAAAATAGAAATGTCGAGAAAGTATAATATCTTTATTATCAACAAAAATGACTAAAAATGCAAGTTATAAAATTTCATAATGTATTAACATTATTATATTTTGAATGTGTACTTCAGTGTGGTAGAAATGTAGAATAAAGATTCATTAAGCTTATAACTTTCCCTGTGAGATCGAAGGTTCCATCCTTATCTTCACATTTTAAAGAAAAAGAAAAACTTCACCACTAGTGAATTCGATATTAAATTAAAGTCGGTTGAGTACTTTGTATAAAGTTTGTGGATGTAATTAAAAGTATAAATCTTTGGATCATAATGCTTTATATTTTTAAATTAAATATGATATAATTAAATGTATTAATTATTAAATTAATTTAAGATCTAAACTGTTATATTCTAACTTTGAAATCATATTTTATGATTTTATTAAATATATAAGTTATTAATTAATAGTAATTAATGGTAAGCGACATGTTTTGTAAATTTAAAATTGAGATAAAATAATTAAAATATATATATATTTTAAATTTAAAGATTGTAGTTTTTTAATAGATTATAACAACATAAATTTCAAGTTAGTTTAATGTCAAGTTTCAATATATATATGTCAATTTTATATAATTGAACTGGTCAAAACATATACGGTGGATAAAATGTTTGAAGTTCAAATTCTGGTCATTCTAGGGTTGAACTAAAAAAAATATCTATAATAGTGCTACTTAATTAAGTTTTCTATTAATTTAATCTTAAACACCAAATTAGACATTAGTGAAAAGTTTAAAAAATCAAAACTATATTCTCAAAAAAGTAATAAGACCAAAGAAAACAACTTTATAACAAAAACAAAATTTAAACATTAGAAAATTGATATAATTAAATTAAATTGGTATCTATAGAAGGTAACTTGGGTACTTAGCATGATTAATTTATTATAATTAGACTCATTATGAGGCCACCCATAAATATTAAGTAGGACAGTGATACATAAACCACCGAGTTGATCCAATAAGTTGCATATAGCAGCTCCAATATCATTGTCATTAAAAAAAATCCCAAAAAAATCTTACTACAATATGTGATTTAACGTGCTGAACTATACTCCACCCGCTCATTGATATTAATATTCATGGTGTTCAATCTCAAAACCAATTAGCAATGAGAGGAGTAGTCCTTCCATTTTTGAACTAAATGCTAGTCTGAATTTCTGGGCTCTGATACCATATTAATATTCATAGGGTTCTATCTCAAAACCAATTGACAATGAAAAGAGTAATCAATGTCTATTATAAACATATGTAAGATCCCTTCTTTTATCGATGTGTGATCCTTAACACATGAGAGAAATCTTGATCAACAATAACCCTAGACCAAATAGGAAAATTACGAAAGAGAAAAAAATAGCACTATCCAAAAGTGATTATTTTGCTAAACATTCGCCAGTCTTGTTGATTGAGTGATTAAATGGAGGAGAAAGATCTTGATTTATATATATATATAACAAAAAAAATAGCTATATTTACTAGGTTAATACTATAATTCAGTATAAACCTTGGAAAATCTAAATTTTATAAGAAGAAGAATTTAATACTATCATTAAATTTTCAAATGTGATTTTTGGATTTTTAACCAGAAAATCTAAACGCTATAAGGGGGGAACATCTGATATTCTGAAGTTATATAAAAAATTAAATATCGTTCACATTTTCAGCTATTTTTACAATACCACAACACAAAATTCAGGACATTTTTAATTTGCCCCATTTTGCAGGGTTTCTACTTTTGTCAACCCAGCGACTGGGCCGAAGCCCATAACCAAAAAATGCAGAGGCCCATGAGCCGAAAGCCCATAAGTAATCTATCCATTGGCATTGACGGTTTATAAGCGAAAGTTCTGAGATTTAGGGCTTTACGCTGTGAAGGAAGATAGTGAAGAGTTTCTTTGTTAGCTGCCGCTGCTTCCTCTCGCCGCCGTCGCCGATCACTTCGTCAAAATGGTATGTCTTTTCGTCTCTCTATTTACATTCCATGCTCCAGATTAATTCTCTTGTTCACTTAGAAAACCAGCGGAAAATATTAGGGAAAATTAAGGGATATAATTTTAGTTGTTTATCCCATCGAAGGCTGGTTCATGGATGCATTTGGTTGGATTTGGTTTTGGATTTGGATTTAGATTTGGATGTCATTAGTCTTTAGCTACATAAACTGTTAAACGTTTTTATTTGGTTGTTCATAATTTTAATCGACCCTTGACGGGGAGTCAATCTGTTTAAACGATCCGCATGTTGTCTTTTTAGATCATTTCCGAGAAAAACCGCAGAGAGATCTCCAAGTACCTCTTTCAAGGTAGCGATTTTTTCTATTGTGTATGTTCGCTCTGGTTAGGGTTTTTTTATTCGTCGCATTATTTATTTAATTTTTTGGGTTCATACAGAGGGAGTTTGCTATGCCAAGAAGGACTACAATCTGGCCAAGCACCCAGAAATCGATGTGCCAAATTTGCAAGTGATTAAGCTGATGCAGAGCTTCAAGTCTAAGGAGTATGTGCGCGAGACATTTGCCTGGATGCATTACTACTGGTACCTCACGAACGATGGCATTGAGTTTCTGAGGACTTACCTGAATCTCCCTTCGGAGATTGTCCCGGCTACCTTGAAGAAACAAGCCAAGCCGGCTGGTCGACCATTTGGCGGCCCATCTGGAGACCGCCCACGGTAAAATTTCCTCTTTTCCTTTATTGATTTTCTTTTGCTTATTGGATTTAGCTGAGCTTTGTGTTGGGATATAGCTTGTTGAGTTTTCTCTTGGTAATATTACTTTGGTATTATTACATAATTATCGGTTCTGAATGGTCTACTACTGCTTTGACTAGACTGGATGTTGGAACTTAGTTATCCTTATACATTGATCTTACTGAGCTACTGATTCTGCACTCTGTTGGTCTCTGTATTGTTTTAAAATCTGATTTTCATCATTCTCTTATTCTCATCCCATGATGTTGATCTTGATTAGTGGCCCTTCGAGATTTGATGGGGAAAGAAGATTTGGTGACCGGGATGGCTACCGTGGTGGTCCTCGTGGACCTGGTGGTGATTTTGGTGATAAGGGTGGAGCCCCTGCTGATTACAGACCTTCATTTGGGGTAAACATTAATACCACACTTACAATTTTCCAACTCTTGATGCTTGTATGCAGGATAGATTTGTTTGTCTTTTCTTATACCAATTAGAGATTGTTAGATCTTGATATCAATGTGAATTTTAACTTTAGTTACAGTTTGTTCTCCTAGTTGGGAGCAATAAAGTTAATATTTTTCTAATTAGTCCCTATTGGTGGTTTTAACATTGTAGGGTCCTGGTGGAAGGCCTGGCTTTGGCCGTGGAGCTGGTGGCTATGGTGGAGCACCTGCACCCTCAAATCTTGAATGAGAGAACATCATAGGTTTACGGTCTGAGTGTTTTTGTTAGTTTTAGTTTCCAAACAAAATGAACGGAAGATGTTCAATTAAACTTATGAGATGATATCAGTTTTGTTTGCCTATAATTAATTGTCGGATCTTTGATTGCTGAAAGTTTGTTTGAAGTCCCTCCATTTGCAGATCCCAAAATTTAGTCTCACTATTTTTAGAAAATGAAGTTATCGAAGCTAATGTTAGAAGTTGCATTCTACTTCATTGCCAGTATCATCTATTTCAAACTTGTCTGTTCTGGATACATTGGATTTGTTATGATCTGCAAATTTGGAGCGGATGTTAAAGTAAACATTGTACTTGAAACCAATTACAAAGATGACAGTGGGAAGGGAAGCCCACCTGTGGAACTTAAGAAAAAGCATACTGGATCTCCCTCTCCATGGTTTTATGATGGTTCTGACTTTGTTTTCATCAGTTTATTAAACCATACACAAGTTGCTAGAAAATGAAGTGCTGTAGTTTGTTAGTTTTGAAGAGTTTGGAACCTCCTAGGAATGGGACATTCCAGTCCAATTACAATTTGCAATTTGCAATGTAAGTTAATAATGCAAGTGTTGGTACTTCTTCTATTGTACGGTTCATTAGAAGCAGGTGCATGAATCTTCTGTCAAAGCTCCTATAATTGAAATGCTTCTCTTTCTAATCTGTTGGACCAAATGAAGCTTTTTCAGCCATTCACGGGAATCGCTTAGAGTGGATGAGCTGAGCCATGCAACCCAAAAAAAGGTTGGCCAAAATAATGTTTGGCCGTGAAACAGTCAGCTCAGCAGCTAAAACACAGCAGTGGGAAAGAAGAGAAGGTTCTCTATCTCTGCAGCAGGCCTCCCGTGAAACACAACCACCATATCTCAAAAGGGCCAAAAGTTCACAACTTTGAAATTTGAGGGAGTTTCCACTTTCATCTATCCTTAGCTTTCCCCTTTTATTTGCATTTTCACTTTATAATCGTACCATACATTTCTTAGATATTCACTTATGAAATTTACTTTTTCTTGTAGAAGACTTGTGAAATCTACTTGTCTGATCATAATAGTAATTATTATTATTATTATTATTATTTGATACTAAGACTCGGATCTTTGTCTCTTATACTTGCGGTCTGTTTCAAGATTCGGATTCTTAATGTATCAAGTATTTTTGGTATTAAACTCACTAGAATGTTCAAATTTGAGACCTCTAAATTGGTGTGATGAGGAGATTTCAAACCCTTGACGGGATCCCTCTTTAGGACTACTTTAGGTTTGTAGATTATTTGGATTTATTAATTTTAGAATTGATTTTTAAATTTGGATTGGTTAAGCTTGTATAAGGTACATATTTTTGATGAAGAGGTTGTGAGTTCGAAATCCTACCTTACATGTTGTAGTAAACCAAACTATTTAACCAAATTGATTGAAATCACTACTAAAATTGGATCAAATCAATCAAGATGGGTTGACTATACTCACCTCTCTCTCTCCTCTGCGGCTGGTTTTAAACCTACAATTCTCAATATCCTTCCTTAAAGAAACTACTTTTTTTTTTCTTCCTAATTTTTATTTTTGGGTTAGAAACTAGAGTGTTTAAGAAAATAACATAAAAACCTACTGAAAAAAGTGAAAATCTGGGAAAGAAACCAAAAAAGTACATGAATATATTGTGAAAACTTTTGGGAGTGATGGGGAAGTCTTTGATGAAGTGAGTTTAATTGAATGGGGGACAAATCACAGTACTTGTTATAAAATCTAAACACAAGTACAGGACACCCTTTGCTGGAGAATAAGCTGAAATTTTATTTTATTAAAATTATGGGGGCACGTCTGCAATTTCCCAAATAAATCATTATTTTTATGGGGCCCGTATATTTATAAACCCCATATTTCCTATTGCAAGGGTAGTTGAGAAAGATTGCTTCTTTATATTATTTGCTTCAATATATATTTCTCTCTCTTTTTTTTTTTTTTTGAGAAATCAATATCTTAATTCTTATATTATTATTTTCGTGTGCTTGTGTTGCACGTAGTTTATATATGATATAACAAAAGTTTTGACCAGTAATGTATATATATATATATTAACGATCCTGTCTTGAGACTGAATAATAATAATAATAATAATAATAATTATTATTATTATTATTATTATAAAATAAATAATAGTTGGCAATAGAAATAATATGTATAGTGATGAATAGTATCTTGACGGCATCGCAAAATTATGAAAATAATAATTACAATTAGGTAGAAATACGCTGGGAAAAATATTTTTCCACAAAAACATGGAAACAATTTCATTTTAGATTTGCTTAAAAAATAAACACTTTTTAGTTCTTACTCTTTGTCAAACCAATTTTTTAAAAAGCAATAAACTACTGAGTCATCAATATTTTAAACTGGACTAGCAAAGAGAAAAAAAAAGAGCAATCTTTTCATTGAATTCAAAACTTTCAACTATGAGCAACCATATTTTTATGGGGGGAGGAGATTTTGAAGGATGATCGAGAAAAAGGTTGGGAAATTGGAGGAGGACCCAACCAACCGAATCAAAACAATGTATGTAACCGGTAAAAAAGAGAAATTTTGCATTAATGGCGGATTTAATTAAATCTTATTGGAGTGGAGGAGGGCGTTCAAGTGGAGGGAAAAAAGTCAGCTTCGATTCACGGATTTTCAAACCATTTTCAGATCAGAAAAGAGAAGAGCCTGAAGCAGAAAGAAGCAAAGCAATCGCCATTGCCAATCGCCCCTTCACATTTTTCAGACCTTACTTTTTCAAAAAGCCCCGATTTCAACTTTCCAATAACCCCATTTCCATTTCCATTTTCCCTACGATGCTTCCCCAAATTTAGCTCTCGAAATCAGTAGAAAAACCTCCGCCCAAGCCCAAGTTGCTGCCTCCTTCGAAACCCAAAACCTGCTTCTGGGTTTTCTCCCAATTCCGGAAATGGCTACTAAAGAATCGAGCTCTGCCACTGCCGCAGAGGGGAAGATTAAAGGGGCTCTCACCCATGGCGGCCGATATGTGCAGTATAATGTGTACGGTAACTTGTTCGAGGTTTCGGCGAAGTATGTTCCTCCTTTGCGACCCATCGGTAGAGGTGCTTATGGCCTTGTCTGGTAAGATTTTAAGCCTATAAGGATATAACCCATCGAGCTTCAATGTGGAGCTTGTTCCCCTTTCTGATTTTTGATCTCTTACCGCTGTTCTTCTCTTATTTAGTTGTTTTCTGAAAAGTTTGTGGAAGTTTTGGCGGTCCTCCTCCTGATCTGCTTGGCAGATTCATGGTAGTTTACTTGTTTAGTGAAATCAAATGTTCTGTTTGCAATTTGGTTTGGTATTGCTTGTTTGAATGGGAAATTGTTGTATKGGTTTTCGGGCTTCGAATCACCCAGTTGAGAATGGAGTAAGCTGATTGATTTGGGTTCATTTTAACGTAGTTTGTAATAATTTAAGCATGTAATTTGATCAAATGATGTTAGTTTGGTAAAAGGTGTGGAGTTCACATAAAGCTAACCTTTCCTTTTGTTTTCCCTCAATCACAGAATGACTTGCTATTACTCATAAATGTTTTCTTTACTCTGAAACTACAAGGAAATCATTGTTTTTAAGTTTTAACTGGTTTTGCTATGATTTCGATAACCGTGTGCTCGGTCACATAATTACTTCTCTGCAGTGCTGCTGTGAATTCAGAAACACATGAGGAGGTTGCCATCAAGAAAATTGGAAATGCATTTGATAATATTATTGATGCGAAGAGGACGTTGAGGGAAATTAAGCTTCTTTGCCACATGGAACATGAGAATGTATGTTTTAGTTTCTAAGAAGTTATAATCTTCCTTTTTCTTTTTTAATGGCCTGGTTTTTTATTATCTCCAAATATGACTGAGGGAAAGACAGGTTGAGAGTTGGTTTATTGCCATATCCTCTGTAACTAAAGCTAAATTTTTTACCCCATCGTAGATTATTGCCATCCGAGACATCATACGACCACCAAAACGAGAGGTTTTTAACGATGTGTATATTGTTTATGAATTGATGGACACTGATCTTCATCAAATAATTCGTTCTGACCAATCACTGACAGATGATCATTGCCAGGTTTGACGCTGTAACCTTCTATAAATCCTTCGCATCTCTCACGACCATTTTATATAATAGGATTTCATGACACTTATTGTTCTTTTCTACTTCTTTGGGATCTAAGTTAATATTTGAACTTTAAAAATCTGTCCTTGATTTTTGCTAGTACAAGCCAAACCACAAAGAAAAGAAGTGAGAAACATAAAATTTGAAGTTTGTTAAGTTTTYCTCCGGTGTTAATACATTGTATATGGAAACTGTTTTGACTATTCTGTAATGAATTGGTCCCTTCCATATACCAGGGATGTGAGTTTATTTGTTACTATTTTTCACTACTGATTCATTGTAGATGTCAATGAATGAATTTTCTGATGGGGTTTTATTCAGTGTGAGGTTCAGACATGTATAAGCTATCTCACTACATCAAGTTTTGTATTCCTTTCTGCTGATACACAAAAGAGCTGATGGGGATATAAATTCTAAGAGCATGTTTATTTTTATGTAATTATGCACTTTTTTCTCTCTCACGAATCTTCAATAGGAATTTTGATAACTTGATTACTCTTGTCGTTGAAATTAACTGGCATATATGCACTTGCAGTACTTTTTGTATCAGTTATTGCGTGGGCTGAAATACGTGCATTCGGCAAAGGTGTTACACCGTGATCTCAAGCCAAGCAACCTGCTTCTGAATGCAAATTGCGACCTTAAAATTGGAGACTTCGGATTGGCAAGGACAACTTCTGAAACTGACTTCATGACTGAATATGTGGTTACTCGCTGGTACCGAGCCCCGGAATTGCTCCTCAATTGTTCGGAGTACACTGCTGCCATTGATGTTTGGTCTGTTGGATGCATACTTGGTGAGATAATGACCAGAGAACCTCTGTTCCCAGGAAAAGATTATGTTCATCAGCTCAGACTTATAACTGAGGTACAATTTTAAAACCTACAAGAGTTCATTTGATCCTCTGTCTAGTGCTCCAAGTCATTGGCTGGAAATATTTTAACGTTAGGGATAAAACTTGTCAGTTTAGGCCTTTTAAAGCACCAATTTTTTTACTTTTGAATTGAGTTTGGGAGGATGAAAAGCGATTTCAGGCCATTAAAACACTACTTAAAATTACGAAATACTTATCATGGAATTAAAAGTGATATTAAAAATTCTAGAAGTACTTCTTAAAAAAAGCACTTTAAAATGCTTTTACTTGAGAGGAACACCTCATCATCCTTCCCACCACCTAATTAAGTTAGCTACCAGGGATGGACCACGCTTATATTCCTATCAATTTTGTAACTACCCTTTTAGGACCTTTTCTTTTCCTTTTTTTTTTGGGGGATTGGAACTCCTTTCTTGTAGAGTTGGGCTGAATTTTTGTTTGGCCCACTTTTGTATTCTTCAATTTTTGTCAGTGTATTTTTGGATTAAAAAGAATTCCCATCCACATGTTAACAGCACATCCCCCCTACACAAACTGTTTCTACTATACACATTTGACTATCAGGGGTCATATTATTTCTTATTTTTGTATCTTTTCTTTTGGGGTGGAGAATAGTAAGTTTTATTTATTTATCTATTTTGTTAAATTTTGTATATTATTTCTTATTCTTCCTTTGAGGAAAACATTGAAATACATACAATAATTTATAATTTTTTTGACATTCAGTATGTCTTATAAATGTTGGGAAAAGAACAGTGGTTTTTTGACTTTTTGTAGAACTAGTGAGCAACACTTGAAACTTATCATTTTATTGCTATTACTTTAAGAGCAATCTTGTCATTCAAATACAAATCYCTCTCTCAATTCCTATAATTTTATCTCTCTTTCTAAATACTATCTTACAAATTTCTCTCTCTCAATTTCTCACCCTTCTAATTTTCTCTAATTATCTCTCTCTTTTTAAATAGTATCCCTCTACCTTTACAAATTCCAAATAAACTTAAATAAATAATCATTTGAGTAAGGAATTTAGATGGTGGATAAAAAAAAARGAATCTAAGAGTGAATGGAAAAGAAAATAATTAAAGGATTCAGAGAGATAAATGAAGTCTTTGAGAGAGAAAATTATTTGAGAAAGGTGAAAGTTGTAAATGTGAATAGAAAATATTTGGAAACTAAGAGGAGTGGCACTGGGAGGGAGGGAGGAGAGAGAATTGGTGGAATTTGAGGGAATTTGGAGCGAGAGGGAGAGAGAGGTGAATGACAAAAGTACCCTCAAAGTAATAGAGATAATGATCGAAATCAAAGGGCAAAATGGGGAGATAAAATTTCTCCCTATTGTGCCTTTTATGTATAGTATAGATTGGAAGCTGGAAAAAACCATACCTTCCACTTTCCAGGCCTAAAATTTCATATACATTGGGAATGTTGTAAAAGAAAAGAACCAAAAACAAGAAGCATAATCAAACAAATACCTTATAAGTTCTTCTAATGAGGGATTGGCCAATCTGTGCAAATGTTCTATTTCATCCTTAGATGGTATGAGATTCAATACTTAGCACTAAGTTACCATATAATATGTTTGGCAGCTTGTATGCACAAAATTGCTACTTTGCTGACTGTTAAGAAATTTCCTACATTTTTGTGCTTTTGATATATCTGTTGMCTTTTCTTGACAGCTATGATATTATGAAATGTTAAATGTCGCTGTTCATATTTGTTTCGAAATGTGCGTTTGCTCTTTGTTACTGCTGACTGATGAAATAAGAAAAGCATGCCATAACTTCCAATTGCTTGTTTATTAATCTGATCATTTCTTAGTTACATGGCYTAACGACATACATTTCCTTTTCTTTTGTTCCCAATGTAAAAGCTGCTAGGATCACCGGATGATGCCAGTCTAGGATTTCTCCGAAGCGACAACGCCCGGAGATACGTTAAGCAGCTGCCACAGTACAGGAAACAACAATTCTCCACTAGATTTACAAACATGTCCCCAGCTGCCCTGGATCTTCTAGAAAAGATGCTTGTTTTCGATCCCAACAAACGCATCACAGGTGTGTGAAAACCGTTAAAATTTTAAAATTTTAACCACGAAACGGTCTTGATCAGTTCTTATCCATATAGTACTTCTGAAACATCATCAAATATGATATACCTCTGCCCTTTTGCAGTTGAGGAGGCACTTTGCCATCCGTACTTGCAATCCCTTCACGACATCAACGATGAACCGGTCTGCGCCAGACCTTTCAATTTTGATTTCGAGCAACCGTCGTGCACTGAAGAGCATATTAAAGAACTCATCTGGAAAGAATCTGTGAGGTTCAATCCTGACGAATCAGCCAGGAGGACAACTCTTTGCGTTTGACATGATCTAGACGATGCTGGAAATTGGACACTTCTTTTTTCTTTTTCCCTGAATAGGATTTACTCTCATCAAGTAGATAAGGACAGCAGTTAAACTTTGTATGCTTACCAATATAAATTGGAGTCCTCTATTGTACAAGGAATGCTGATTTCTGTGAGGGAATTTGGGGGGTYCCCAGAATCATGCCAAACCCCAATAACTTAGGCTTTATATGACTGAACGAACTTGAAGAAACTAAAGAAAAAGACCGAAAAATGAATCGAAAAATGGGGTAGAGTGTATTAGGTATTGGGAGATTTTGGAGCAAATATTGTGGATGCTTGTACTTTCCATGGATCTGAACTAAGAAATAAAGTGAAGGGTGTAATTTTAGAGATGGTATTTTTGTATTTGCTTAAATGTCTGCTTATCAATCTGCATACTATTTGATTTTTCTGCTTAAAGCCCATCTTTATGTTGATTACTTTCTGCTTGGTTCTTGTTAAAATTGTCAAAAGATTGAATCTTTTCAACTTCCATATGAAGGGTGAAGTTTCTCATCTTCTGGTAGCTGTCTTGGAAATTATCTGTCATGTAATTGATGCATGTGGGAGTGTTCTCTCCCTTTGGTCATTTTTCTTCTGCAATGAAATTGAAAGGGAATCCAATTTGGTGACATTGAATTCTTTGAAAACTGAAAGACTTGCAAAATTATGCAATGGGACCAAGACATGAAATCATATTTGAACCATTCTTAGTAAAGGGAATTTTAGGTTTACATTCTTTCTTATCTCCTCGAATGTCGTATTATTTTGTTTTGGTCTTGAAAAATTTAAACGTTTTACTTCAATTCTTCGACGAGTTGGTGATGTGTGAACTTGAATTGCAAACATTTGTTATAGGGTAGATTGGCTTCATGCGACCGGGGTTAACTCTATGCAAATAACTCTCTCCTCAATACTGCTTACATCTTTATCTTTTTCTATATTGTACTCCGTTAAGAACCATTCTTCTTAGAATTTTAATGTTGGTTATATTAGGTTTAGGAACTCAAATAATGTTAGCATCCCATCGATGAAATAAGATTAAAAAAAACTCAAATTGATAAGCCAACATGGATTAGTTCGATCTAAAACTTGAGATAATGGGTGTAATCCGAAAAAAGATTCAAAACGTGGTTGTTAATGGAGTTGAAGTTGCCAAATTCTGAGCAGTAGCTACAATTTATGTCTAATTGCTCCACATATAGTTCCTCTAACCATATTTTCTAAACGAACTAGAGCCAATCCGAATTGATCTTGTAAGAGATCCGCTACAGAACGAATCCGTTTATTAACAAAAATGTATTGTTCTCAGGTATATCAAGATTCAGTCTCCGATTCAGATTTCGTCGATCAATCCTTCCTAATTCACATCTTTGTTGAAAGAATTTCTTTTGGATGGATATCTCGTATCCGAGAACTGACAGTTCACCCTGTCAATCTTCCTGGACTCAAATAACTCAATTTTCTCCCATGAACTATTTGTGTCAATGATATGCCAAGAAATCATAAGTTGGAATCGCTCCACCCCACGTGATGTAATTTAAAAAGCACACACAAATTAAAAGAGTATACTTTTTGGGGCTGTTTTGATCCACTACTCTTTTGTTTTTTTATACTAAAATGGTTTTTTTCTCCATTTTAAGAGAATTATTTGGTTAGGGGTGATTTCACGAAGCCCATCTGAGAAGTCATCTTGGGATGAGGCACATGGGAAAAACCAGAAAGGTCATATAGCTTATCTTTCCACAATCTCTTAAAACTTTGGTCTGCCCAAAATAAGTTGGCTGTAAATTGTGTTGAATTATTGTTATATATATATATATATATATATATATATATATATATATTTATTTATTTATTTATTTATTTATATTTTAGTACAATATGTCGATTCGACCATATGATCTTGACTTTCTTTATGATTTTAATTTGTTTTACTTTTAAAAAATAATTTTGATTTAATGACTCGAGAAATTAAAAATGTGTAAGTTGACATATGCTTTGAATTTGTTGAATTTGTTGATAGATTAGATATAACTCATTAGTTAATGTAAACTATCAAATACAAGTGGTTCAAGTTTGAATATGTCCCTTAATAGTCTTTTATCCCATGCATATGTAAATTAAAGAAAGCAAGAACTTACCCAGTTACCCTAAATTTACACCTTATGGAGAAATACAAGGGTAACTATATGAAAATTCACTATGTACCTAACTTGATAAAAATAAAATATATATAAAAGTATATAAATAGAAGGGTATTTTTGATGAGGAGGAAAAATGTATTTCATATTTACCTTTTAGTTTTTAAAATATGGAAATAAAATTTCGGATTAGATTTTCATTTTTTTAACTTGATTATAAATATATAATGAAATATTTCATACTAGTTTTAATTTTTTATTCATATATCAAATATTTTACTTATATAACGGATATACTGAGTATAAAATATATCACTAGTATAACTAATATACTTAACCTGAACTATATCAATTACACCAAATGGATTGGTGATATAGTTAATTTTAGATATAAAAATATTATACCAAGGATATATATCAAGATAAATGATAAAATTGACTTTTTCATTGTTTCATTTGAGCTGGGACTCCGTTTTTTTTTTTGGCTATACTATGAAATAAAAGACAATTAAATATTAATTTTTCTATATTTGCAATCGACCTAAATAAAATAAATATTGTTGATGCTGGATTTTGAACGAGATAGGATGACAGGTGGAATCTGGTGATGGACCCTCACTGATTCAAACTGGTACATGCATGTCAGATCTAGCATTGATGTACTGTTCGATCAAATGCACTCCAAAACTTAAGTTAAATTTCATGTCAGAGAGCGGAAGTAATGGGTTAGAAGTTGAGTGTAGATATTGCATACATTTAATAAAGGTTTGATCCACCTTTTGTAGGAGGAAGATTTTCTTCTTTTTTTTTTTTATTATCCAGGAGTCGACGACCCTTTGGCCATTATGCCCCCTATACCTAGGGTATGCACATTATACCTATACCCGTACATACGTAACCAGACATCGTTTGGTAGAAGTTGCGTCTGATCCTATGGTTTGAACCCAAGACCTCAAGGTTATTCCTTGAGGCACCAAGCTATCTCTTTGGAACTTATAGGAGAAGATTTTGAGAAGTGAACTTAAGTGGTCAGAGTCCATACTCATGAACGACAGAATCTTTTGCTGATAATAGAGACATTGTGATAGTAAAATCGTCATTCCGCATAATGTCAGTAAATATCTTGCCGGACAAACTTTGCTTGAAGAAAGGATCGAGTTGACCTACTCAATGCACAACCACAGGCCTTTCCTTCTCAACTCGATGAACTAAAAAACTCCAACCGCGTGGAGTGACCCACATTAGATATACAAACATTAAATACAATGTGTATATGAATCAAATTAACAAAAATGAAAGCGATGCCCCTTCTTGTTGGTTGAGAAAAGGACAATTCATTTAAACATTAAAGGAAAATACCTTGGGAGCTAGATCCATAAGAACCAGCCTGTAGAACCCTATCCAATCAAGATGGTGTGGATTGTTGATCTAATAACAAGGTTCCTCGAGGTCGGCCGTCTCGTTAATTAATCTACAAATAAATTTCACCTCCTTTATTTGTAGTAGAGCCCTCAATCTCTTTATCTCTTCAATAAGAATCACAGCTTATATAGAAAAAAATCGAGACTTCTAGATGCTTGATAATCTGATTCGACCTAGCTAATTCACTTAAATGAAATGAGAACTATTTACAAATATTTGTAGGAAAAGTAATAACCGACCACTAATCCACTAATTAGACTACTATCCTTCAATTCTCTCCAACCAGCACTACTAATCCACCATTATAAGTCTATAAGCTCTCCCAAACTTGTACCAGTTTCTCCCCTCCTTAATTAACTACCAATTATGAAATTAACCACCAAAACATAACTCATAAAATATATGAGCGTTAACAATAAAATTAACACATATTTGTACTGTACTAAAAAAAATACATATTTGTACGAATTCTTTAACACTAACATTTTTGCGGCTCCCTCCAAAGAATTATTAAGATAATTATGAAAATTCACTACATACCTAAATTGAAAGTATATAAACAAAATTGTTATTATACGATGGATATTATATATATGAATGGAATTAAAAATTACACACTAATGAAAAAATCGATAATTAGTACACTTCCCCTGATTATAAAGATGGTTTATCACTCATTCACCTCATACCTAAATCCACGAAAACATCAAACTAAATAATATAAAAAAAAACTGATACAAATACGCAAAAGTAACAAAAAAAAAAAGGATGAGACAAAAAAGACAATTAGAAGTACAAAAACGAAACGATAGGTGTCCAAAATAGGCACAAGGGTAGTTCCGTAAATTCACCCACATACCTAAAGCCGAATTACATTTAATAGCTATTTCTTATTGAATAGTTTTTTTTTTCTCTCTTTTTAAAACTTTCCCACTCCATTTTATAAATTTATAATTTGTACCCTCCTTTCTGGTTCCCCATCCTTATAAAATTAATTAATTATTATTTATTTAATATATTTTTTTGAAGGTTCGAGCTCGCCGGCGTTGATGGCGACGGGGATCTCGGGCGTGGCAACCGCCGCAGCGTACCGGTTCAACCCGGGGCTGTTTCCGGATGCTCCGAAAATCGTAGCGAAGAGGACCCCACGTGTCCCGCGGCGGTGCTCGAGGCAGAGGTGGAAGAGATTGTCGGCCGGCGGCGGAGGAGATGACGTTAATGAATTGGAAGTGGTGAATAAGGTTTCGAATGCGACTGTGGAGGAGAAATTGGCCAGGAAGAAATTGGAAAGAGAAACTTATCTTGTCGCTGCAATTGTATCGAGCTTCGGGATTACTTCAATGGCCGCCGTCGCCGTTTGTTACAGATTCTCATGTCAAATGGGGGTATTTTTTCCTTTTTTTTAATTTTCCCTCCTTCCAATATTCTCGGAGTTCTAAATGGTCTAATCTATTAATCTTTTAAAAGTATCCATTTGAATATTTAATTAAATTTGAATATTTAATTAAATTCTTTTGTAATATAAAAAATATTTCATTGGTCATTATTTTCTCAAAAGGAATAGATGGTTGAGTTTCATGTACTAAATAGGCTCATATTCGGATGTATTAATAAAATAATAAATAATCTATTTACAGAACGGAGAGTTTCCAGTAGTTGAAATGTTGGGTACTTTCGCTCTTTCTATTGGCGCTGCGGTGAGTGTCTAAGTGAAGTTAAATTATCGAATATTTGATGAAATCCTTTTCTAAGGATGTTTTTGGTTTTTGATTTTAGGTGGGAATGGAATTTTGGGCAAGGTGGGCTCATAGAGCGCTGTGGCATGCTTCATTATGGAATATGCACCAGGTGGCATTACATTAAATGCGTGGATTATGATAATTTAAAGCTAAGTTAAATAATGTCAAAAAGCATATAGTATAAAGTTAAAAGTAAATAAGTTATATATATGTTTATGGCTCTTCTTTTGGTGTGTAGTCTCATCACAGGCCTAGAAATGGAGCATTTGAACTAAACGACGTGTTTGTGATTATCAACGCTGTGCCTGCCATTGCTCTTATTTCCTTCGGCCTCTGCAATAAAGGCTTCATTCCAGGCCTCTGCTTTGGTGCCGTATGTTCATTTTAACACTTTTTTTCTCTTTTATCCCAAACTTTCAAAATTATAAAACTTCAAATGTTATTCAACTTTAAAAATGTGTAAGGTATCTTTTAACTTTAAATTCTTAGAGGCTTTCTTTTACTTATTAGACACAAATTTGACCTTAATCTTCTAAATTTCTAATTTATTAAACACAAAATTAAAAATTTTGAATTCTAATAACTTGTTAGAACACAAAATTGTCATTTTAGGAACTAAAGTTAAAATTTAACTTCGGGCTAATATTAAAATAGTTTAAATACTATTTTAGTCTTACTTTTTAAAGTTTGATTCATTTTGATTATTGTATTATTCTTTACTTTTAATTTTTATTTATTTTAATCTCTATATTGTGAGATTGTGGATTTTGGTCTTTGTACTCCCTTAATTTTAATTTTTATTTCAATCAAAAACATTTAAATCTATTAAAAAATTCGATATTTTTAATGTTTTCATCCTAATTGGACTAAAACGGATAGAAGTTCCCACTTTCCGACCTAATCTAGTAAAAGTGAAGGCTATTGAAATCCACGTCAGCTATGTATGACGTGTCAAATTATGATTGGCTATTGACTATTTAATAATATTCGGCAGGGTTTGGGCATTACGGTCTTCGGTATGGCTTATATGTTCGTACACGACGGCCTCGTGCACCGTCGTTTCCCGGTGGGCCCCATAGCAGCTGTCCCCTATTTACGACGTGTCGCGGCTGCCCATCATGTACTTCTTTCATCACTCGTAGCTTTCTACGACATGTCGCCTGCTTCTGTACAACTTTTACTATTATTATTATTATTATTATTAATATAATATGATATTTATTTGGGGTAATTTTAAATTTTGGGCAGATTCATCACACGGACAAATTCAACGGAGTCCCATACGGATTGTTTTTAGGACCCAAGGTTAGTTCCGTCATTTCACTCTTTAGTTCTTTTTAGAACTCCCTGTTATTTTCAATCTTGTACTTTATATTTTAATATTTTTAATTTAGTCATAAATACTAAAATTGGTTGATATGCACTTGCATCCTATGATGCTTAGCAGTAATTGGCACTCGAATCCGTCCTTGTACTTAAAAAAAATTAAATAAAAAGTATTAAAATATAAATGACTAAATTTAAATTTAGAAACAAAATATATACTAACAACAAAAACATATATAAAGCTCTTTTTTTTTCTATTCTTTTTTTAATGATATAAGTTGGCACTGAAACGCGGTGGCTTCTCTGTCACAGGAATTAAAGGAAGTGGGTGGAGAGGAAGAGTTGCAGAAGGAAATTGAAAGGAGAAGCAAGGGTTACAAAAGTTAATTTTTAATTTTTGTTTTAATAATAATAACAAAAATAGTAAAATTACTTTCTCAAAAAATAGAAAAAAAGAAGTAAAATTAAAACAAAAAAATGGCAATAATAATAATCCCTCTCCCTCTCCCTCTCCATATTCCTATTCCTATTCCTATTTTATTTTCTCACAGTAATGATTGTTTTTATTTTTTTCAAGGGTGATTACAATTTACAATTTACATGCCCTTGTAATTAATTAAAGTACTGTCCAGTATTTGTTCATCAAATTAGTAAGTTTCTACAACGCTTTTTCCCTTTTAATTTCTTCTACTCCTTGTAGACATTTTGTTATATCTCAATATGAATAAGTAAATTTAAGAAAATATATGAAAGGAGAAAATTGATGAAATATTAATAAAAAAAACTTAAAAATAAAAAATTTGAGATAATTGAATGAAAATTTGAATCTCTAACTAATTTCAAATTAACACGAAAATAAATTAAAGTGGAGAAAATAAAAGAAGGAAAGACGTGTAGTGAAGCGAATGAAAATAAAAGAGGAAACGTGTAAGCAATAGAAGCTTACACATCTACTCTACGTGACATTTTTCTCTAAAAAGCAAAAAAAAAAAAATAAAAAAAAAAAGGTCTTTTTCCTGCCGACTTGTCGTTCTTTCTTGGTCTACTCGTCGGCCGATTCTATAAAAGAAAACAACTTTTCACGCTAATGTATTTGACTAGCAATTTTAAGACGTTTAATTATTTTGGGTTTATTTTATTTGAATCTTTAATTTCAAAAATATCAATTTAAATTTTAAAATTTTAAAAGAATATTTATTTTTTATTGTCAATGATTCAACGAATTAAAAATGTGATTTTAAAGGTGCATATTAACGTCCCAATATGAATATGTATTAGACCACATAGATTATTTGAGATGGATATTAATTGAGGTAGAGAACTACCATTGATATCACTTTTTTTTACTTCAAAAATTAAAATAGATATTTTATAGTTTTTCAAATTGTAACAAGTTATTCTTTTTAATAATTTTTTTTTTTTACTTTTTTGGATAATTATTTAGTTTTTTTAATCAATATAAAAAAGAAAATAATTATTTTTTCTTCACCATTAACAAGTAAGAGCCTGAGAAAAATGCAAAAATCTAATAGAAAAATTCAAAAATAGAGATATTTTTTAAAAATAATGAACTGTCAATTTTTTAATGTATAGAAATAGTACTCACCTGTCAAGACGGAAGTATTTTCTATATCAAAAAATATATATTTATATATTCTACCTCAATCCATTTAATTTTTATACTATTTCTAAATATATATTTATATATTAACTCAAAATCATTTTAACAATGATATTATTGAGTAAAGTAAAAGCAGTTTCATGTTTATTGATACATTTTTTTAAAAAATAAAATAGCATATTATTATATATCATTTTTAAAATTTGGGTTATGAGTTTGCTAGTTATATTAGTTGGAAATGTGGACAAATTCTTAAATAGAATAGGAATATTTGACTTTCAGGTATGATTGTTGTAATTAATTTGAAAATGAATAAGTCAAAATAAATATTTGGCATATATATTTTTCTTTTTCAAACTATGAATTTATAGAGTATATACATTTATTCTTACCTAAATTCATGTTTACTGAATATTCCAACTAAAATAGATGGATTGAAGAAGGAAGACGGCAATTGGTCCCCAATTTACCTTAAATAGAAAAGTTAAAGTTTTGAAACTTTTTCTCTACTTTGCCTCTATAGACTTTTAAATGTAAGATTATAAACAAAATCCTAAAATGTAAAATTGTACACGTCTCCGAGAAATTTATCTGCTCTCCCCTGTCAGCTAATATTAAAGTGTATGGGAACATCTTTAAATTAATCTCTCAATTACCAAAGCGAACATAATTTATCGGTAATTGACACATATCTCCAATCAAGAAGTTATGAATTCAATCATGAACCTCATATGTTGTACTAAAAAGAAATCTCTCAATTAAATTTACAGTAAATTAATATTGAAATAGATAAGAAAAAGAAAATGTGTAGCTAGAGAATTTCGTCTAGTACAAACAAAAGAAGAAAATAAACATGTATATAAATTGGTTCTTTTGTTTTTTAATTTTATTTCTTAGTTCAACAATAACTAGGAGTTGGAATTGGAATTTTACCATTTTAGTTGATGATATATACTTTAGCTAACTAAGTTATATTGGAGTTATTTTTCTTTTGGAATGTTATGTAAGTAGCAAAATTGAAGCTGTCTTTGAATAATAATGATATGATTTAAATAATTTTCCATGAGTTAACATCCACCCAAAAGTAATAAGCGAACTTTAAAAAAAAAATCAAAAAGAATTAGAAACCAAACAAAAGAAATCAGCCATCGTGGAAAAGAAAATTTGAAATTGAACTAAATTGATGAAAAATATTATTTATCTTCATATTTTATAGATAACAAAACTTAAAATAATAGATTACAAATAAATAATCAAAGAGTATTACTATATATCTCCAAGACCAATAACAATTAAGTACTTCTTAGAGGAAAAAAAACCAACAATTAAGAAATAATAAGAATATCAATCCAAACATTATTCAACTTGTTAAGTTAAGATATTTATTTTCGACTAAAATAGAGTGAGTTTGGATTCTTACTCCTATATGTTGTAGTAAAAAACGAACAAACCATTAGAGTGTCTATGTAATACAACGAGATTACGGAATTTTCTATGGAAAACATTTATGGGAAAAGATATGGACCCATCTTAGTTTCAACTTCCAACTATATGGTACGTTTCAATTTGCTTACAAAATAGACTTCATTGCAATTAAGTTATATCTTACAATACTTTAGATAGAATTATGGCGTGTTATTCTAATTTTGGTAATTCCTTTTATGGAATTTAATATATAATAATAATGTATGAAGAAAAATGTTGGCCACGAATGCATATTATATATATATATATATATATATATATATATATATTTTAACAAGAATACATATTATATATATGTGTATGTATATTTATTTGTTAGTACAACATGTAGGGACGAGAATCGAACTCACAACCTCTTGATTTGAGATATATGTCACGGTTGAGTTATGTTCGTTTTGGCCATACATATTTTATAAATTACGTAATTAAAAGATGGGAAGTAAATGTAAAATAAATAAATAAAATAAATAGAAGTTTTTTTTTTTTTTTAATTTAGAGAAAGGATCTACGGGGGTAATTTAGTAATTTAAAAATGAGATTTTTTCTCAACAGATCCAACTATTGAGAAAAGTATAAATTTCAGAGATTTTAGACCTCTATGTAATTAGGATCTAAGAAATGATGTATTTGTGTAACTATCCAGAAAAAAAAATCCCAAATAATAATTTTCTGAGACTGTTAAGCCTAAGCCCAAGCCCAAGCCCAACAGTATTTTCCGTGGGCCAGATGTGGGATCAAGCCCATATTTTCTGCCACGAAAGTTCCCCCCGACTTGAAAAGTCGCGATTGCAACTCGCGCCAAAACCAACACCGGAGCGACGCCGATTACAGCCGGACGGACGACGGAGTACGGACTCTCATCTCTCTCTCTCTCTATTTTCTTTGTTAGTTTGCATATTTTCTCTAATGTATTTATTTATGGTTTCTCTTTGCGAGGTTCTGTGATAATCGGCGTTCTAAGTTGCATTAGTTTTCGTTTATTTTTCCTCTTGAAGTTTGTTCCATTATGATCCTTAACTTTGTTTACTGTCTTTGGATTATGCAAAGAAAGTGTGTGAAATTCGTCTCTCCCGATCCAAATTTTGTGTCCCCTGAAACTGACGATCTCTACCACTTTTCCCATCAGGTTCAATATATGCGTTCTTTAATTGGCTTGTTGACTGTAAAGAACAAATTTAAGCTGAGCCATCCTCTGAAAGGATCATACGGTATTGCCTTTCTCCTTTTTGTTAATTAGGGCCCTTTTTTGTTATCTTATTGAGAAATTCAGGCAATTGACAACTATTTTTGTTTCTTGAAACATAATTGAAATTGTATTGGACTTTTGGAAATAACAAAAGCAAGTTTCTTATTTCTGATTCCCATTTCAATTTGTTCCAGCATAAATAAAGATATTGTTTCATTGTTCTTGAATCTAGAAGTGTTAGGGCATGCAATTCTATCTTTCTTTACTGTAAAAGGGGAATAGAAACAAGAAATGGGAAGGATTGTGTTTAATGAGTTGTGAACTTTAAAAAGTATATGATAGATCCTTAAACTTTTAATGTTGTGTTTAATAGGTCTCCGGACTTTCAATTTTGTATCTAAGAAGTCTTTAAATTTTTATTGTATCTAATAGATATTTGATTTATTAAACAATTTTTAAAGTTCATGGAACTCTTAGACACGAAATTAAAAATTCAATGAGTTTTTTACTTTCTAAACACTTCTAAAGTTTACATATCCATTAGTTATATCATTTAAAGTTTAGGAACTTTAAAAAGTTCATGGCCTGATCCGAAAGTTGAAGTGACAAAATTGAGAATTAACCTTAATTTAGTCTTACATTCTCTTTTGTTCCTTTGTTTTACGATTACATGAGATGAAACAATCATAGAGTTGTAATTTGATTAGGTAGTCTGGCTCTGGCCTCGTCAAAATAATGGCAAGGAGGGAAGAATGATTCTGAGGGAGGGTCTGTGGTTACCAAAGAGAAATCACGCCCAATTGTAGCATTCAGTAAGCCTCCTCCATTTCCTCCCCTTCTTGGTCCATTGGCTGTTTTCTCATTATTGGAAACATTTTTGAGTCGTGATGAAAATGATAACTAGAAGGGGAATTTCATGTATCTTTATGATCTCTTCCATGCCCATGAAATTAATAGATCTTTGTGCATATCATGTATCCTTTACATTAAGAACCCTAAAATGTACCGTAAAAAGTTGAGTGGTAATACCCAGTGTCGATAGTTATACAGATATTTAAAGGCTAGAAGGCTCTCCAGAAAACTCTCCCAGAGAAGCGTGAAGAGCTTTATACATATCTTTGATAGCCACTTTACCCAAGGTAGTTGAAACAATTTTAGCAGCCCTGCAGTAGACTTTTTCAATGTATCATCAATGGCTAATATGAAAGCTTTTGCTCACAAAGATCTATGGTGTTCAAATCGACTTACATTCTGGAATTGCTGGAAATGTATCGAGTAATGAAGTCACAAGCTTCAGTAAAGCCTGGTATTAGTTAATAGGCAAAGTCCCATTTGAACACAAATTGAAGATTTGTTAGTACATACCAAGATGAAACTGTTCTAAGCGTTGAATGATTTGAAATTATTGGGAATAATGGCTTGTGTGTATTTACCAAGATGAAATGTCCTGCTTTGACTTGTGGTTCAACTATGATTTGTGCTTTCCTGTAAAGAGTTGCATATCATTAAGATCTCATTCTCTCATTAGAATTGAAGTATCAGGTGCTGAGTTTATTTGTAGTTAACTGTATTGCTCTTCTTTTTTCATTTCTGATGTTGATGAAGGTGCAGCCCTTGGAGAAGGGAATCTCTATGTCCTTCCATGCTGCCGATTGATAGATTAGATTTGTCAATCTATTAGACTGATAGAATATGAAGTTGAGGGAAAATCATAGATTAGATAGAGCTACCCAAGCGCCAGATTGCTCCTGCACCGGAAGTGCCACTTTCGTAGACGTTAAGAATTCTGAACTTCACATATCGGCCCATGCTTTGAGTGAGTTCTTCAAAGAACTCCAGAGCTTCCTGCAAGTAGCTTCCATGGATTTGTGAAAATAGATTTTTGTTACACATTTCAACGGAAGAACTACTATTAGTTTGCCTAGTAGTCATTTGGGCTAATGAAAAAGGTAAAGAGCTTAGTGGAAATGATTTTCAAACCAATTAGGATTTAATATCTAACGAGTTTTCTTGATCGCTAGATGTAGTAGGATTAAGTGGTTGTCTGGTGAGATTAGTCGAGGTACGGACTCTCAAGAGTATATACAATTCTTACCTTCCTCCCTTGAAATGGTTCAATGAACAAGGAGTCTTCAATGACACAGTCTTCTGAGATGTAACTGCCCAACTCCTCTAAGTTTTTTTCATTGATGCATCTGTAGAAGTTCTCAATCATTTCTGATGAAGGATTTGAATTTGAATCTAAGCAGGAATCAGAATCATCTGGTAAACACGAAGGCACGAAACGGAGCTTAACGTCAGTGGATGATCTTTTGTTTGTTTTCCTCATCCAGTCGCCATATTTTAGTACTGTGGTCTTCTTTTGTTGAAATACACATGAGCTAATTTTAGGCAAGGCTGTATAGGGTAGATTTCTGAATGATTGGGAGCCCAAACTGATGGGAGGAGGACTTCTTATAAGGGCCATTATTGATTCACTGCAGAAGGAGAAAAGGGTGGGGCTTTTTATGAAGGCAAAGAGCTAAGAAGGGCGAAAAGGAAAGGTTTTGGAAAATGGTGCTAATTTGATGGAACTGGACTAGGAATATAAATGACTTTGCCTTGGGTTTTAGGCAAGGAAGCTTCCTCTTATGGTTTAGTTAACTTGGTAAGTATTCTATTCTCTCTCTTTCGCATAACAAAGTTTTGTCATTGTGCCATAATCACCGACCATCTTTGGTATAAGAGAGTTGTTGGGCCAACATCGAAACCATGTTGACTTCTTTAAGTTGTTGTTACGAGAACTCCTATGATTCGGGATACCTTAACGTTTGAAGTTGAATGAAGATGTTCATGAAGATAGTTCCATCTAGGGTGTTAAATCACTGATTAAAAAATTTATGCAGCCAAACAAGTATGGTAATCAAATATTAAATGGGGAGGGAGTCACGTTACAAGAATTTGAAGATAGGATCTCATGTTCTGTTACTATGTTAAATCATCCATCAACACAAAAGCTTAAGTTGATGGATTACGGTAAATTTAATTTTTCATAGATATCTTAACATAGGGGTTGGGATGTTGGAGGAAGGTTTTGATGGTTCAATGATTATGCATTCGAATAAGTGGAAACTATTGTTGTCTCTCAAAGTAGGTCTTTGAGCATGATTAGGGAGTAAAGAGATCCATCGATTGAGGCAAAAATGACAATGATTTAAGAATGCTAAATACTTGTGGCAAAATTAGTTCTTTAGAAAAGACATAACCAGGCGACTGTCTAAATTGACCCAAATCAACAGTTTTATTTACATTGAAAGATGATATTATTGGGGAAATACCTTTCTTGTTTGACTTCTTTGCTCACTTAAACTTTCTTGTTCCTAAATGTAGTCTCGGTCCATAGGTTAAGACTTGATTATTTTTCAATTTTATACTTTAAAATCGAACCGATCTACAAGTACGAGTTCCAAATTGTTTTGAAGAGGGTATGGTGAGTGTGTAACTTAAACTCTTGGCAACCCATCTCGTGACACATTGCCAATCCCAAGGCAGCCAATTGGGTCCTTTCCCTCCTAATTTAGATTCATAATACAATCAAATTAGTCCGTATATTTTATCATTTAAATTTGTAATATTTTAAACGGACCAATGATCAAATTTGGGCCACTGAAAATTAATTAATATAAAAAAAAATGAAGAAAGTTTGAATTTAAAAACCTGCGAAGCAGAGAGAAGATTTTATTGTTTAATGTATTGTGCTGCAAACTGCATATTTTTAATTGAAAAAGTAATAATATATTAATGTATGAGTCGAGTACCGTGGGGTGTGGAATTACAAAAATGGCAAACATTGTTTTTGTGGCTTTGAGGATGGCAATGGGACTCGGGAAAGTAACTCCTCAATTTCCTTAAATTCCGTTTGATGATTCAACTCTTTCTATAGTATAAATAGAAATGGGGGAGATTTTCTAGTGCAAACAAATGTTTAGCTACGCACTGTATCGTAGAAGGTGAAACTTTATATCAAAATAAATATAATACATGGTCACGACTATTCTTGACGAGGATAACCAGTTAGGCTCATGACCTCCTTAGTCTGGCCAATTGATATGTGTGACATTTGAGTAAAGTCGATGAGATACAAGATCAGTTTTTGTTTTCATTGTAGGATTTGAATCTAGATTGTGATGTGAGAAGCTCCAAATGGACACCTACACACAATTAATTTTGCACATTAGTGTGATGCTAAGTCCAACACACTCCAATACTTAAGTCAAACAAATGAGTTGAGTGTAGTAAGAGATAAGGTTGTGTAACGTTGTGAATGTGTGAGGTTTCTCTTCCTATTTATACATGGAGTTTCCTTAAGTCTCAGGCTATCTCGCTGATTTTTTAAGATTCATGGAGGATTAATGACGTGTGAGATCCTCGATGACATGTCTATGATTTGTAACAACGTTATAATGTTAATGTCCTTTAGTTGTTGGGTAACTTTTAACAATTTGCCCCTAGGGCCTTGGTGTGATCGTCTCCACTCGATCATCTTAGCCTCAAGCCTTGGTGGTCGACTCGATAGGATCAGCACGACAAGTTGGCCAAATCCTTTGGGCCTTAGTCGTGTTCTTCGGGTCTTCTTTCTGTGGAGTTGTATATGGTAAATTCACCCATAAAATTGGTCCCAATATGATTAGATTGAATATTAACTAACCATCTACTTACAACGATTAACTTAGTAGTGGCAATCAAATTTGATGTGATGGTTAGTGTAGGTTGCTATCACAAACATGATCCACTTGGGAAAAATGTACGTGGATCCTTGTGACAACAAACAACTTAAGAATTACTAGTAAATTAAACTAATAAATTGCATTATGACTGTCACTATCCTAACGTATTAAATATGCCTATAGTCGTGATCATTACACTAAAATTGTCTTTACTCATGGTCTAAAATTGATGTAAATATACTGTACTTGCATCTACCACCTCTTTCTTTTGCACTTACTTTTTTATTCTACTTGTCTCCTAGTAATAAATTAAATAATTTGAATATTTGAAGTAATAAATAATAATAATAATAATAAATGGTGATAGCTCATATGAAATGTTTCTTTCATATGGACACAAACCACCTTTTCCAAGATCCAAATTGGTTAACTTTGGAAGCGTTTACTTTACTCCAAATCTAAACTCACTTGGCTTGACTTGATTGGTTGAATTTATGTTTGAGTAACTGCAAACCCAGTAAATTTAAGTTTAATATTTTTTCTATTAATGCCTTCTTTTTCTTTTTTAAACTAAAATTGGAATATTAATTTTTTTTGGTACACAAGTAAGAGAAAAAAGAGCATTATCTTCCCAAGTTTTTGGCTATTTTCTATTTGAAGTCATAACTAATATTTGAGTGTTCGCTAATTACAATGATGAAAGAAAAAAGCTTTGAATGGACACTCTTTTCTTTAATTCATTTCTATATCGAATATTACAGCTTTAATGGGAAAAAAAAAATTTTAAAAGTAAGCATATAGTAAAAGAAAAAAAGAAGAAGAAGAAAAAGAAAGCTATTTTAGAAAACTTTTTATCTTCATTTTAGTGCACCAAAAAATTGTTTTTAAATTCTTTTGGTTAAAAGGTTCAAAGAGCCAAAACAAAAATTGATTAATCTCTTTTTTAGAAATTCATAATATTGGGAAGCATAGGAAGTTAAAAGTTGACAAATGTAGATGATAATGGCTCAAAGTAAACAAAATTTTTATTACTTTTAAATTTTAAACTTTGGCTTACATCTTAAAAACGTTTTTTTATGGAATAATTATGGTGATTGAATAATGAAGGGGAGAGGGATTAAACTTTTTCGAAATATCGAAAATAGGAAAGATATCTTAAATTAAAAAACAAAAAATTATTAACACCTTGAAAATTATTTAATTAATTAAAAATCTAGAAGTATTATGTGCCAATCGGAACACTCATTAATTCCATGTCATAAGATTCTTGCGTAAAGCTTAAACCAACCCCTCGTTAATATGTTAGTTTTACATTTTTCATTTTATTTCGTTCATAATTAGCTATACTGTCCAATTTATATTAATAGAATTTATATAAGTTGAATTTAATACAAAATGACTCAAAAAAGATAATAATAACCAAAAGAAAAAGTCACTTTTAGCTGTCTCATTGATTGATAAAGCATTTAAATTCTCTAAATTCCTCTTCATGCAATGTATTATATAAAGCAATCTCAAAATTATAGCCAATTTTTTCCGAAAAACTAAGTTCAATTTGGGTGATTGGGTGCTTATGTTTGGATTTAATTTTAATGCCATCATTATAATTTATTAAAATCTCATCCATTGTTTCTATGAATGAAATCACCGTACTAGGTTTACCCGGACTTCTTTAGTGATGTCACATGTGGGTTGAGCCATCAAGGTCAAGCTGCTTGGGCTAGACCACTCAACCAAACTAGGTCGAGTTACATGAACTTGGTTGAGTCGTTCCATCTGAGTCAACCCAATAAAATTCCTCGGAGCAAAAGTGCGCTCTAGAAATTCTCAACTAAATCCTTTTTCTAAATTAGGCATTGGAATGTGTTGGACTTTAGCACCACACCGTGTGCATCATTATTATGTGTGTAGGTGTCCAGGAGGACATTCAATTTCAGTGCTTGAATCCAAATCATAGATCAACAGTCTTTAAGTTATTCAGTACTCATTTGAAAATACACTTTTTTTTGTGCCTATTTTTTAACCCGACTTAAATTCTAATGCTCAAGATGACAATTAGAAGTAAAAAACACCTTCTAGTTTTCAAATATCACATATTCAATATCGTAATGACTTATAATAGTAGAGAAAATTTGTAAGATTTTTTTAATACAACAAATATGGGTAGGTAGATTTGAACTTTTGATTTCGTGTCTTCATTGATGCTCACATTGGCATATAATTTTTAAGATTTGACCAAACTACAAGCTACAAAAGATTAAATTTAAAAATTTTAAAACTTTAAAGACTATATCCAAGATAATGTAATTACCAAATTCGTAATTTAACCTACAATTTTTCTTTAACAAAAACAAGAAATATAAATTTTTAAAAGTTTCTTTTAGGGGAACAGAAACACTAAATTTGAGTAGTAAATTCACTTAAAGGTTAAATTACAACTTTCAATTATTTGTTTAACAAATCACTAAATTTTCAATTTCTTCCAATAAATTACAACTTTCAATTATTTGTTTAACAAACCACTAAATTTTCAATTTCATTTCCAATAAATTTAATACAGACAATTCTAAAAATTCATAAACTTAATAAACATATAATTCAAATGCTATGGCTCTTCGGATACTAAAATTTAATATTACATTTAATAAATTTATGAAATTTGAAAAATATCTAATAACTTAACAAACTATTAAACACAATATTAAAAAATACAAAACTTTTAAAATCTCTGAAAATCGAGGATTAAATCGGTAATTTAACCCAAACTTAATT